TCCGCACTCAGGGGCATGGACATTGTCTCGGCCCCTGTGCTCAAGAAGCTGTTGATGATAGCTGGTATTGACAACTGCTATATCTCAGCCAGGGGCTGAACTTCCACCTTGGGCAACTGCACCAAGGCCACCTTTGATGTCACCTCTAAGACCTACTACAGCTCTCTCACCTCCACTTCTGGAAAGAGACTGTTCACCAAGCCTCCCTCCAGGAGCTCACTGACCACCTTGCAGGGGCCCGCCCCAGAGTTTCCATGCAGAGGACCCAGGCTCCAGCTGTGGCCACCATATAACTCTATTCAAGAAAAATAAGGTGGTTAAATCTGTTTAAAAAAAAAAATATATATATATATATATATATACACATACACATATATATAATACACATATATACATATATATGAAGAGCTTCTATTTCCAGAGGTTATGAAATATGTTAATACATTTTCCAATCTAAAGAATGCTAATTACTTACCTTTCAGTTGTCATTAGAAATTAAGGTTTTTAGGGTTAAGACTTTTAATTAATATGGAAGGAAAAATATGTATTTTCAGGAAAGAAGATATAAGGTATGGAAATGCATTTTTGAGGAAAGATTCATAAAATGTTACTTTGGGAAAGAAATTTTATGTGAGATAAAGCTGGATAAAATTGAATAAATTTGTTACAAAAGGTTTTTTAAAAATAAGTTTTAATATCAATATTGTACTAAAGCTAATATTTTTTCATCTGTTAAAAGCACAAATTTTCTTGGATGACTGGTCTGCTCTCAATATTTTGAAATTTTTCTGTCAAGAAAGCAAAGATTCTGCTTTATCAAAATAATTTCTGTGTTTTATGTCACCTTAATCAGGTCTTTAATTAGTTAAGAAAACAGGAAAATGTGACCCATCATCAAAATGAAAATCACTGAACAGAAACAGACCCAGGCACAGGGAAGCTAAGTGATTGCCCCAAGCTCAAAGCTCGTTACTTACAGATCCAGACTTTGAACCCAGGCAAGAGTTAGCGTCCACACTGGAACCTCCGTGCTACACTGCATGTTGTGTGGCAGGACAAACGAGCTGTTTCCACAGTCTGTCTTATTAGTGGAGATGTGGTGATGACAAGAGAGGTGACTTCAGGCATACGGCCAGGTAGAAGGAGTGATTGCAGTGAGCTGCAGTTCCGCCAGCTCAGAGTTTCGGACTGCTGGGTGCAATGCCTTGATCCTTGGGGCAGCCTTGTACAGTATTTTAATAACCAAGGGACCGTTCATTCAGTAACATCTATTGTATTCTAGGCATTGTCTTGTGTGCTTCAGATGACCATCATCTTAAAAGCACTTAATATATGTATTTTTAGATAAAAGTACTTTAGAGAGAAAAGGTACAGTGAAATTTGGTTTATTCACTTGAAGTTAGGTCTAATACTCTGCCCTGCCTATTTTCTAGGGCAGTCAGATGGATAAAATGTGATAAACCTTGTGAAATAACTCAACTGCAATAAATCATTATATAATTCTAATGCAGTGATGATAATCAACATAGTACACATTTCTTTTCAATGTCTTGGTTGCTGCAATGAGAGAAAAGTCAAATGCTGATCAAGTCACACATGGACAATTGACCCCGAGCGCATGAAACTCATCATACGCCCAAGGTGCACAGTGCCTCTGGGAACATCTGCTAACTGCTGCATTAAATCCATCACTTAGGAGCTTCTTGTGAACAATACAGTTTATCTAGTTTATTCTCCTATATGGTGCTCAATCCTGTCTCACATGTATATTGTAAAATATTCCCATTCATGAGAGTATGCATTTAACTTACAAGCTTCTTCCTACCACTATAATTCTTCTTTTGTGATCCCTCACAGCACCTAACAGTGCAGTCAGGAAATAGTTATTTAGTTGAATCTGTCTGTGTTTTGAGGGTAAATGTTTAGACTTTTTCTTTTTTCTATAATAAATAATATAAAGGAGAGGTATAATGCTGGTTTCAGTGTTTTTTTTTCATTTATTATATAAAAGAAAAAAAGTAATGCAGTTGGTTTGTACACATTGAAATTCCATAAAACATATCCATAGAAATTAGTATACTATATGCATGCACTCTGCATTTTCTTTGTTAAATGTTTTAGTTCACAAAAATAACAACACATTTTTTCCTTTAAAGCCACTAAAGCAGAGGGAGAACAAACATGCAGCACTGTACACATTTGCATAGTATATTTTACCCAGCATGCCTTGAAGAATGCTACACATTTACCTACATAAGAAACATAAAAGGGGGATAAATTATCAAAATAATAACTAAAGTTTAAAGAAAGAAAAAATTATGTGACAAAGGTGATTTTTCCCTGCACTTTGTAGCTGGCAATATAGCAATAGCTTGGGATCCCAGCAGCCCTCTCAGGATCGTAGGGAAAACTTTCTACATCAATTGCCATACTGGTTTTTATTAGTAGTAAGTTTCTGTTTTTTCCCCCTCCCACCACCCCTTCAAAATAAAAAAGCTAATAATGGCTTTATGTTTCAAAATAGTATTTAGTACAAACAAAGTAAAGAATCCCTAACTACTTTTTGTTGTTCGAACACTTTTTATTTATCATTCTGACTTTAGGCTGTGAAAAATATAAAGCATTTCAAACACATCTGAAATTCAGAGGAACTCTATAAGCTTACTTGCTGTTACTTTTCTGTAGTTGCGATTGAAAAAGAAATAAGAACAGTAAATATAGTATGAGTCTTATCACAAAGTAAAATTTAATAAATGTTATGGAAGGGAATAAAGTAAAATAAGTTACATCCACAGATTGCAGGGTTATGAAGCAAATTGCTGGAAAAGTATTCTGCAGCAAGTTAGAAAGATGATAAGTGAAATATATATGATAAAACTTAGAACTAACGCTATATCTTTTTAAAAAATACAACTTCCAATTTTAACAGTGAATTTCCTGCAAGTTTGTGCTATAACAAATGTGCTTCTTTCTTCTCAATCTATTTTCATATTATTGGCAAAATATATATATCTTTATAACTTTGTACTGTACAATATATGTTTTTGCTACATTATTTTTCTACTGCTAATGCAGATTAGAAGTTACAACATAGATTTATTTTGGCAATAAAATGCTTTCATTTTAATAACATCCCAGAAAATATTGTAAGGCATATGAAAAACAGTATGCAACAATATAGCATTAATGGTCCTGTATCTTTAATACATCCCTTATGCATACAGAATTCACACTGATTTCAGTTAAAAGTGTGTGAAGCTGGCATGCGAGTAGGGTAAGGGTGGCCCCTACATAAATATAGATATAGCCATTTGTTGAGAAATTTAAGTGTTCAAAACATAACCAAGAACACTTACCAAGTATTGCAAAGATAGAGGCCAGCTACTTTTGGTTCTTAAATAGTTCTCATTTTAACTCATAATTTTCAAAGAGGAAGCATCAGTGTATTTTCCAAATCACTCTGAATTCATTAGAAACATTTTTTATAATTTTCTGCAAACATTTTACATACATTAAAAGAAACAAAGGAAAGTTCCATATGTAACTATGACTCCCCAAAACTAGTTGCCCTTCACTCATTTATACATTTTTTTCATAGTAAGTAGGAGTTACAGCCCTTAGTCGAGATTATCTGATAAAATATTGTCTAGTCTTCTGATAATGTCCCTTGATTGTATGAAGCATTTGGGATTAAATCATCTATAAGCAGACAGAGATAGTTGCTATACCAGTATGTATTTCCTTTGAGAATGTTTTAAGAAAAGAAACCTTCAGAAAGTAATTTTGAATGTTCTAGCTCTCTGTCCATGTAAAGCGATTCCACTATTTCACTCGCTTGACGGATTAAGTGAACCACGAGACAGTGGCCCCTGTGGTCTGCCCTCTGTTGCTCGGACTGCTTTGACCCCCACTGCCCTTTAAGAGAGCCTCGCTGTTCTCTGACCTGTAGACCCAGCTTGAGAAAGCAACTTAGTAACAGCTAGAGTATGAACAATACTTAAAGATATGTGGAGCTAAGCAAACAAATTTTATTATATAATTTCCTATAATGTTTTCATTCATATAGTCATTCAAAGAGGAGTTTTATATAATTAAAAAGAAAACAACATGCAACATTGTCATGAAAGACAAAGGCAGAACTAGAAAAGAAATGAGGGGTACATTCCCATTTATTTGAAATATTTTATAAAGTTTTTTTCAATGACATGGGAGTCCAAGAAAATGTGTAGTCTTACCCAGGAAATGCCTAAGTATCCATAGGAGAAGTCAAGGTTCGACGAGATTAGAATTCACACGCCAGCTGCACTTGAACAGCAAGTACCCAGACCTGCTCTCTTTTGGACTTAGAGCGAGACGGTATAACAAGCTACACACAAAGGCAGTTCCCCTGCAGTGTGATTTGTTCCCTGTGGTGAATGATTCATTACATTAACCTTGACGTCTAATAAATAGTGAACCAATTCAAAGAAAACCTCATGAACATGGAAGAAAAGAAAGGGTATCAAGAGTATTTTGGAAACAGTTTAAATTTAAAGGGAAGGTATAGTTTAACAATTTATGTATTTAGCTTTGCAGCAAGGTTAGCAGTGATAGTGATAAATTTGATCACTACTTATTGAAAAGTGTTTTTCTCTTTAAAGACAGCTTGTCTTCTCTAGAGAAGAGGTAGTATAAATATCAACGTATAGGGCAATTTCTATGGTGGTATTACATTGTTTTTATTTTTAACAAATACCAAAATAAAATTGTATAACTAAGAAAATACACTAGCATGCAAATTAAGGTTATCTAGAAATATTCTTAACTGACATCCTGGGTCTCAACAACATTTTATGATATGTTCATTCAAAGAATTTAAATTTGCAAACCAACTATTGGCATGATTTTCTTTTCTCCCTCCCTTCCACTGTCCTAGCTCCTATTATGAATTTTAAGGCCCCACACAAAAGACAAGTTCAAGTATGCAGGTATGAAAAGAGATTAACATTCCAAAAATACAATTTGCAAACAACAACAATAATAAATCAAGTGATTCACAAATTATTTAAAGGGAACAAATAATTTGCTCAGAATTTGTTTTATGTTTAAAAAATTCATTTCCTTAAGGACTAAGTGCAATGAAATATTGTCACATAATTAAGATTCTCTTATTAGGAAAGACTATCAGTCTAAATTGTTAATTTCAATTTTCTTTCCAATAGAACTGTATAAAGATAAGAGAGAATCATTAGTCATTTATAAACATTTCCAAGTGTTGCTTTAAATATTGGAGTAAACAAGATCACATTATTGATTATAATATTGAAGTCACATTATAGCCTTGAGAATTAATATCAGTATTGACAAAATGCACTCCTTTTTTCCAGGACTACATTCCCACATTGTCACATGAGTCTGCACTGTTACATGTTCAATGACTGAAATTACAGAATATGTAACTTACATATTCTGAAATTCCATATACTGAAATTTCAGCATATGTGGTTTATACTACAAGTCAAAACAGCCTCAAAATATTATAAGACTTCTTTCTCCTGCTTATCATTTGCTAATTTCAAATGAAATCAGTTAAAAACAAATTATTTGTAGAATATGTATTTTCCAAAGGTGCTTGATGTGCTTGGCAAAAATAAAACTTTTCATTTAGTATATATCTGTATTTTAGTATCATTTACACAATAAACTCTAAGCCTTAAAAAAAAGGAAAATGCATCTCTTATTCATTTGGAGAAGATAAACATTACAAAAGGAATGGGAAAAATATGCCATATCAAAGTAAAATTTTAAATATATCTATCAAGAAAATATACATTATACCCTTTCCAAGACTGTTAGCTTTTGAATAAGATGCAAAGCAAGACAGATGTGGACACTTTGTGGTAAATGACAGGTTGGTTTGTGCAGATACTGAATGGACCTCTCTCTTTATCAGCATGACACGGAAGACTTAGAACAAGGCTCTGAGAGGCCTTTTAAAACAAGTGATTTTTTAAAGTGAAAGAATATGGTAATCTTGCTGACTAGGAAATATATGTAAATGCTGTTATAGCTACCTGCCATAAAATGTAAATATCTTAAAATAGTTAGAGGACCGGATTGCTAATGCTACTACAGAAAAAGCAGAACAGCTGTCTAGTCTAAATTTATACACCTTGGCGCACTCTTTGCAATTAAATACTTTAATGAGCACAAACAAGAAACCAGTAAAGCATCTAGAAAAATGTTTTGGCTAATGTTTTCTTTCTCATGCAGATATGTGCTGTACATGTAATAAATATATTTTGTTTGCTGGAAAGTGCTCTTCTGTGCTCTAACAAAATATTCAGTAATGGCAGTTTACATGTTTATTAAAGTGCCTAATGGATATAGCTCTTTTAAATGTCTTAACTGAAAGTTCTGTAGGCTTCACTAGATGACAAAAGAACCTCATAAGCCAAGATCACTTGTTAACTTTTAGAATTTACTGAGCCCCTATTTTTGAATTGTATCAAATATTTGTGATAACTTACATAATTATAGGCATCCTCATATCAGCGACACAGGTTCATAATGGAGTGTGCACAGTGAACACGAGGGGAGGGGAGGTGGGACGTCAGAACAGGGTTCAAGACATGTATAATTCATAGAGAATATGGAACTTATTTTCACAGTAAGGAAAATTATTTAACTGGTGCATGCTTTGAGATTCTAAGTATTGAAAGGCTTGGTGGGGGGAATACGATAATAGAAAATGAATTATTATTGTTCTCAAAAAATAGGTTTTGTGACATGTACCAGTACAAAAGGACTTTTATGCGTGGTCCAGTTGGGGCTTTAGAAAACACATGCATTGTGGACTTTTAGAAACAAGAGCCTTTTCCTAAAGATGTGTGTGTATTATATAAAATGGTCAATTTCAATAATTTCTTGGGTCATAGTGAATCTAAGTCTTTTTTAAAAATATAGGACAGAAGGACACTAATTCCATAATTATAGCCACTGGAAAAACTATGAAGACTTAATATGTGAAGAGGAGTGTTGATTAGAAATAAGATGGCTCAATCTCCAAATTCTTTATAATTCTTTGCAATAAAAATGCTATGTTTAGTGAACAAATATATTCTGGATCTATGAGTTTATTTTTATTGCAAGCCTTTAAATTCATTTGTTTTCACATTTTCAATTAATTGTTTTGTATAAACACATCTTTCAATATCAAAATTGAATGTTTCTATGTAAAACTAACATCTTTAACATAATTATAAAGAATTTGAGGAAGGGCTAGAGCATTCAGATATTCAAAGACAGAGGCTGAGTGAAGCAATGAAAAAGTACTCAATTGTGTCTGGTGGGAAATACTGAACCCATGTCTGCAGTAAGTGGATGGATAAGCTGCCACCTGGAGATGTTTAGCTTTGCACTCAGGAGGATCTGTGTCCACCCTCACTACCTGCCTGCAGATTCCTGGGTGTGCTTAGTTGTGCTCGGATTGATTAAAATGGAAACAACACCCCATCTTGCCTTTCATATACCCAGCTATGATTGGGCTTCCCTTGACTCTTCTTTCTTACTGCAAAAGAAATTTTGAGATTTTTGCCAACTTCAAAAGAGCTAACAGTAGTGACTAAACAAAAAGCAAAACACTTTGAAACAACAGCTGTGCCAGGAAAGAAAAATATTAAAATCTTGAGGAGACTGTGTAATTTCTGCATTAATTTGAGATTTTTTGGCACTATCAATATATTTGGTAAGTTAGAAAAGCCATTCTGGCAACATTAACATGTATTAAAATGTGTGTATGTTCCAACTTTAAGGGTAAATTTAACTTTCAGCAAATAAATGCCATAGCTGGTTTTGGCTTCTATTGGTATTTTGATATCCTCATTAGTGTTTTTCAGATTTTTTAAAGGGATCACAACATGCTCAAGTAGACTTTCTAGTCAATTCACCCAAATTCCAACAGGAATTGGTTTATAAATTGGTTCCAACTGGAACTGGTCATTTGGAATTTCCAGCATGGGAAATTATTTTATATGTGCCTCAATAAGTACCCTAAATTACAAATCGATGTGTCTAAATCTAATGAATAAAATAAAGGTACTGTTATGTAAATGTTGCACTTAAAATATCTATATGATTGGGCATCTAATATCCATCCAGACTTAAGGGCATAATGTACATTTTTTTTGCCCCTTACTTAGCATCCAATGACAGCAGCCCATAAACACAGTCAATACTGTGCCGTACTTGCCAAGTTAGATGATGGGTTTATCCTAGCAGTGCTATGGCAAATTGTCAACAAATAAATTTTTTGTTTGTGTCAGCAGACTCAAAGCCTGTGTCGGGAGTCATGGCTATATCCCCCGGGCGATCCTCGGCTCCTGTGGGGTTTGTAAGTGTCCTGGTATGAGTCAGGGTAATCTTCTTCCACAAGAGGGTAATGATCTCGGCTATGCTGGGAACTGGAAGACAAGCGATTTCTACTCTTCCGAGCCCTTTCATTGTGATAATTTTCATCAGAGGTCATTAGACTTCGTCTTTCAATTGGAGAGTTCTCTGTGGAATGGTTGCTGTGCCTTACACGCTGACTCTAAAAATATCAGATAGTTCATTGATTAAATAATGTCAGCTTCATTCATCTAAAACACATACATGTGTGTACAAACAGTAGGATCCGTACAATAAGATGCTGAATATCTGACTTAATAAAGCATTTTGATGCACAAATGATCTGCTCAAAATATCTGATCTTATTTATTTGGGATATAACATGCAAATATGCCAAAATGCTGATAGTTTATGAATTTAATTACATAATGCTGCATGATTATGCTTCTTATTAAAATACAGAATTGAAAGTTAACAGCTGAATAGGACTTAACATATTTAGGAAGGTCTAATAATTCCACTTCTGTTGCAAAAATGAGGGGTATTTTACTACTGGCAAACAAAGTTCAGAATAGCATCTATAATTTTATTTCTCTCTTGAACTGATAAAATCTTTCTCTGCTTATGGTCACACATGTTGCCTTTAACTATCTGAATGTTCCTTATAGCATTTAAAACTATTTTAATGCAACTATGATTTATGCTCATAAAATAATGCATTTGTTTCTGTGTCCTACATAAATGTGATATTCTTTCTGAAGGAGTATACAATTATGTAGTCAACTAATTGACACATTTACAAATCTTGCTTCCTCAACTTGAAATGTCCTGCAAAAATAATCCTTAGACATAAACTAAATTCCTCTAACACCATTGATTGAAATTACCTTCAGACACTTATTTAATGGCTCAGAAAATGTCATTCAACATTTTTCTTCAGATCATGGGAAAACATGTATCACCACAGCTGTCTACCTGCTTAGAAGGGTCACCTGAGTTGAGAAACAGGACGGTGATAAAGCCAAAGTACATGTCCTCTAAAAGACACTCACCTTCACACAGAAGGAAACTCAGTCAACAGCCACAGCCTATGCCTTTAAACTCACTGGGGTCTAACAATTAGATGCCATGGTTACTAGGCAAAATAGGTCACAGGATACAAGTGAAACTGGGAGAACCACTCTCAGTGGTCGTTTTAGAGATGATGAGTCAAGAGCGTTGTATTTATAGACAAAGTACAACATTTCATTTCTATGTACATTTCAGAAGCATATGGTCTCATGCATCCCTTTCTCATCCCACAGTGTACAATTTGGAGCCAACCCAAATTAGTCGGTGGAGATGCCACACTCAGAGCAGCACACAGGCAATGAAACAAGGCAAGGAATAGTCCTGGTGCATACATATGTACTGTGTATTGTATACACTATTGTATACAGTATATATGTATATTGTATAGTAGCACATTTCCCATGTTCATTTCCAGCCTGAAAAGCTATTCATTTATATGGCAATTTTTCTGCTTACAAAGATGCCGTTTTGTAGCAGAGTAATACAGTTATAATAGCATTTCAGAGAGTGCCATTTATCTCAGAGTTAACTCTACATGATCTTCAATTATGACTATCATTATAATCCATTAATACAAAACTATCATGATGCAAGAGGGTTCAGTTGACTACCTGTTCCTCAGTCAGCTGGGGATTTGGCCACATTCCAGCAGCTGCTTGATAAATGGTAAATAATAATTGGTGTAGAAAGGCAAGACTCACTTTGTATCATAATGCCTCTGGCTCCCCGCATCTAGCTCTGAGTACAGCACCAGAACAACAGGGGAAAGAGCCTGGGCTCATCCCCAGTTTCCCTAGAGGACATCTGCCATAGCCTCTGACCAAGGTGGGTCCCATACGCCACCAGGAAAACTCAGGGATCTGTCCCTATTTCCGAACAAAGCGGTTTTACTTGTGGCACATCCTGTATTGACTGGGCAAGCTAGAGAGCCCAGCAGCCTGTGGGGCGGGATTAGTTAAGCACAGTCAAAAGGTTCATCTGTCCCAGGATATTTTACTCAGCTGGTCACTACCATATCATCCCGAGAGGTGACACAGAGAAACAATGAAGAGCCGTGCTGCGTAGGTGTTACTTTCCCGGCAGAGTCTAGACTTAGAGGGATTCTGTTATCTAAGTGAAAGCCATTCTAAATGAACAGAGAGCAAAGTTCTAAAGGAAGGGCCACTTTCTGGTTCACTTTGTGAAGGGCAGACCATGATTAAATAATATTTTAGATTTTTTAATATGATGCCCACACACGGTTCCCTCTTCAGATTAAGGACAACCTCAGTCTCTATCCCAACCCCGCTCCCTACCGAATCCCAGAGGAAGGATGTAATGGCATGAGTGAAAAGTGACAGTACCTGCAGCCCGGAAATTGCTGTGGGGTATGGGGAGAGTGCTGTGGAGCCCAAATTCCTTCCGAGCAACGGGGTCATGGGCGTGCTGCTGGTTGTGTGGGTGGCACGCCAGTATGCCTCCAGGTACTCTCCCAGGTGTTCACAGGCATCCTCCAGCTGGTTCTCATCCAATATAACATCAAACATTTCCTGCAAGAAACATCCACTTTATTTACACTTCATGTTTTAGGCAATGGAGCCTAAAATACTACTTAATGCAGATCATAGTGTGTCTCACGTAGCAAATATCAGATGCCAGGGGCTCTGCTGGCAGTTTCTGAAGTCAAAGTCAAGTGAAGAGCTGCAGAGCTAACCACGTGCAAACTTGGATGTTGATGTAAAAATGGGAGTGTTCATTAAAAATTTAGAGCTGTCATTATTTAGAAGAAAAAGATGAGGTAAGCACAAAGGTGTTATAAGTAGAATATAGTGAAAAGATAATGTATTCTCACCTTTATCCACATCTTCCTATAGAGTTGAATTATAATTAGTTCAAATATGAGAGAAGCAATTAATGGTACTGAAAGAGGAGTTCTAAACTGTTTTGGGTAACGACAATATCATTGGAATACAGACTTCAGCTCCCCAAGTAACTCTGTTGAAGGGGATAATATTTACTTAGATAATTTTCAGAATGTTTATGAAAATGACATTATCTGTCTCATGATAAAACAATATGGAAAGAAGGTTTAGGATTAATACTAGAAAATCATTACAGTGATCATCACATTATAGTGATTTCTGCTAACAGAAGATCATTTTATGAAATCTGGGAAATGGTTAAGGAAGGACAAGAACCAGGAGTATTTAATGTGGGAAGGGAGGGGTGTCACACAAGAAGGAACTGGTGCCCATGTTTCTGGCAGTAACAACCTCATCTGGCTTATAATCAAGAAGCATTCTTTTACCCCAGAGGAGCAGAGTGGCCCCTCTGTCACTGCAGTGTGATGGGGCACACAGACAGAATACACCTGGGACACAGATTCCCTGGAGGACAGTCAGAAACCACAGCAAAGAGAAAAGCCATTCCATAGGTAAGTGAAAGCACACCCCAACTACCAACAGCTGGATCTGCACCTTCTCTCTCCCACCACCTCCACCGCCACCCACCTGCTTTTATAAGTTTTTTTTAATCAAAATAAGAACCTCCCATTAATGAAGCAAACTGGGTTACTGCATCAGCACTAATACTGTGTCTGGATTGCAGGTCAATGTCAACTGGATGACTTTGAGTGGGTGGTGAGTCAACAGACTCACTCATTCATGTGAGGGCTTTCTGGGGCAGAAGTCACCATGGAAAAAATCTCTCCCCCAACATTTACTATTTGAATCTCTTCATCATATTATTCTTTTTTAAAAACAAGATTTTATTTATTTATTTTTAGAGAGAGGAGAAGAGAAGGAGAAACAGAGGGAGAGAAATATTAATGTGTGGTTGCCTCTTGCACACCCCCTACTGGGGACCTGGCCCACAACCCAGGCATGTGCCTTGACTGGGAATTGAACTGACAACCCTTTGGTTCACAGGCTGGTACTCAGTCCACTAAGGCATACCAACCAGGGCACATCACATTATTCTTTACTGAACATTTTGACCCTGAATAAGATGACCAGTCCAAACTGACTACTGTTTGAGAAGTCTCATCTGATTCAACTCACAGGAAACCTTTCCCCCATAAGAACATCTATTAATAGATTTCTGATGGTTTTCTTCATATTTTACTAATTCATCAAATATTTACTCAGTATTTTGTGCTAGGCACTGTGGGTATACAGTGGCAAAGAAACATATGCTCAAGAGCATACAGTATGTTGGGAGAGACAAGTGTTAAAATCCTTAATGAGCTATGTCACACAGGAACCTTAATTCAGAACAACAAAGAGACTGAGTCAGTCAATGCTTGGAGCTGCAGCTTAAAGTTCTAGACTTGAAAGAAGGCCCAAAGAGACATGTAAAAGTTGAATTTATGAGGGAGGAAAAATTATGAGTAAGTCAAAGAATTCTATCTGTAGAGATAAGAGAATAAAACAGATAAAGAGAAGCAAGGACACAATAGAAGAAACAGACCACATGACCCATGAGAGACTGGGAAAAGAGCTAGGTTTTATAGTTTCATTAACATATATTTCTTCAATAAATCTCCTTTTCCACTAAAGTAACTCAAGTGAGTTTCTATCTCTTGCAATTAAAAGCCCCCTCTGTCATTAACGTTTCAGCAGTTACTTTACAAATATAGAGCCTGAGAACTGAGCATAATGCTCTGACATAAACACTGCATTCTCCGATAGCATTGCAGTGCTAACTGGAGTAGGACCAGAACTGCCCTACCTCAAAAAGCACGCACAGACCCGGATTGAGACAGATGACGCAGGAGGAGGAGGAAACTGGCCACCACGGGAGCAAAGGGCCACTCTAGGTTAGAACTATTGGCAAATTCTAGACTGTATGTTGTGTGGTGTCAGCTGTTCACATAATTTTATTTAAGCTAACTGTATAATTCAGTTACATAGGCATCACTCTGTAATGCAGGTTCTCTCCTACGTCTAATCTCAGTAAGCCATTTGTGTGCTTTCTTAAAGTTACAGAGCCTCGCAGGGACACCTGAAGTGAGGGCCCTCACTATCACACACAGCCAGGACTGCAAAGCCCAGATGGGGCAAATGAGGAGGGCAGCACCTACTGCTGAACAGTATTTGATTGAGGCTCATGTCCACTTGACTGCCCACATGCTACCTTGTCATGGCTGCAGGCACCACTAAACATACACTTAGTTACAAATAATTTCAATAAAGTATGTCTCTGTGCTAACAGACAGACATTTTCCATCTCGGCACAGGTCTGTTTGCCCAAGGCTCAGTCATTTCCAGGAAATGATGTGTGTGCAGTGCTAAAACAACAGCTCCATGGTGGAAGATCATTTGAAACTGCTCTTGGGCTTTCAAAAGCACAGAGGAGAGCAAATTTCAGCTTCTGAATGAAATACCACGACTTAGTTTCAACTAAAAATTTTACAGCTTGTATATCTGTGACGATTTTTCTTTTGAATTGTTTAGGAAATAACACAGCTGATTAACCAGAGTGGTAGAAAGTGAGTGTAATGAGAAAAAAAAATTTAATTATACATGAAATTCAAAGAGAAGCAGCTCAATGAATTATGCAAGCCAGCTTTGCCTATTTTTCATAAACTTCAAAGGTTCAAGTCCAGTTAGCAGCTTACTGTACAGAATGTGAGGCCTCTGGTGTGGCTGCTGTTCTGAGAGCTACCTAATCAGCAGAGGAGGGTGTGAGCAGCGGGCCAGTCAGGGCGGGCAACAGTTAGGCACTCCGTGGGATCATGCCCTCGGGGCCTGCTGGAGATGGGGTGACTCGGAGCTGTTTTCAAAGCACTGCCACCGCAAGTGCCCCTGGCGTCCTGGAGCAGGGTATGTTCTTCAGCTGAGGTGGCAGAAATAATGTTGCCATGGAACTACAGTGAACAACGGGGTCCAAATAAACCATTGGAAAAGCAACCCTTTTTCTAGATAAGCTCTTTCAGAAAACTTAAAAACCAAAGCATTTTAAATGACAAGACTGAAAAACATGCCTCCAGCTCATCCAGTGGTTCTGAAAATGAAAATGACAGGAAGAAAGAAGGTGAAAGATTGAAGCTGAATAAAGTGAAATGACGACCTGCGATGTCCTTTTTAAAAACTGTAAGTACACGCACTTAGCGATCTGTCCAGTCCTCCAGTCCCAGAGCATCACAAACTTTCCTCAGGGAAGGTGCCTGAATTAGGGCAACCCACTGCCTCGGTTTGCCAGGGACTGAGTGGGGAGTTGGGACTATTAGTGTGAAAATCTGGAAAATTAGGGAAAAATTGGAATAGTTGGTCATCCTACATTTTACAGAAGACAGAGCACTTCTTACACTGAGAATTCAAACAGGTTCTACTTATCTCTTTCATATTCTTTTGGGAGGAAGATAGAGAGAGAGTGGGCAAGTGTTTATGACTATGAAATACATATTTCCTAGAAGGAGAATTTCACTAAAACTAATGTTATCTAGGAAGTTGCTATTGAATATTTTAAATAACAAGTTTATAAAACTTAGAAATTAATTTTGCAGTTTAACTTTTCTTTAGGCTGGTGCCTTACTGAATACTAGCTACCTGGGAGATTAAATTTACACACTCTCTCCCATGGTGTAGACATTGCTTTACATGCATTTGTCGTGCATACACAAAACCTCACGTGGGAGAACTTTCCTACTTCTAAGTGGAAAAAGAAATAATAGGGGTGAGAATCCTTTTATTTATTTCTATTGGAATATAAAAATCCTAAATCTGCCACCATTTAAAAAAAAAGACCGGAAAATACCATCCAGTAAAATAAAATGGCTGAATGGCAAACATGTAATGCTGATTACAAAATAACCACCCAGCGTTTCTTGGATATCAAAACTGCATTCTTATATTACTAAAGCTTTTTAAATCCTGAGTACTTAACTCACTGCTGGTCAACTAGTGATAAGGAACAGGATGATTACGGGATTTTCCAAGATTTGGGGGGTCTTGCCGGGACAAAGGAGAGCCTGCCAACCTTATGGGGCTCTAGCAGTTAGTCTCCGGCACGGTTTCCACTTCAGCAAGCTAACCTGGAAAGATAATCAGAATTCTTGCCACTAATCAGAGGAGACAATGTGAAGGCAAAGAATATCAGTGACTTCGACCCCTGCTAGCTTCTTTCTTTCAACAACCTGTGCTATCACTATGGCCCCAGCCACATTTTCCTTCCCACACCGCCCCGTCCTATCCACCTCACTCCCTCCATCCTTAGCCTTCAGAGAGTATAAGGAGATCTACCAGTGCTACTCATTGTCTGTAGAAAAGGCACCCAGTGCTTTTAAATTCCTGCTAATGCAACTGGTAAGTCAGCATGGGTGGGCAGGAGTGAACTATCCCTAACTCCCTATATTCAAGTTGAGTGGCCTAGTGATGGCAGCAAGAGTAGTACCCTTCGGACGGAGAGAAACAAGATTCTATGTGGCCTTATTTAGAGAAGGAAACCTCTGGAATCGATGACTCTCTTTTTCAAAAGCAGTGTTATGAATTAAACTACGAACATGCAGAGGCTCTGTAATAACGAATGCACCACCGGGGACAGCATTTCA